TACATCTCAAAGCCCTAGGAAAAGAAAAATGAATCAACACCAAAAGCAGTAGAAGACAGGAAATAATTAAAATCAGAGCTGAAATTAATGAAATTGAAACAATTGAAAAAACTGACAAAACATAAAGTTGGTTCTTTAAAAAAATAAATAAAATAGATAAACCCCTGGCCATGCTAACAAAGAGAAAACTCCAAATTACTAAAATACAGGATGAAGAAGGAATATCACAATGGACACATCTGAAATACAGAAGATAATTACAAACTATTTTGAAAATTTATACTCTAATAAAATAGAAGATATTAAAGATATCAACAAACTTCTAACGATATGTGACCTACCCAAACTGAATGATGAGGTCATACATGCTTTAAATAGATCAATTTTCAAGTAATAAAACAGAAAACACCATCAAAAGCCTACTAACCAAGAAAAGCCCAGACCAGATGGACACTCAGCTGAGTTCTACAAGACTTTTGAAGAAGAATGAATACTAATACTCTTCAAAGTATTCCATGAAATAGATAAGGAGGGAACCCTTCCAAACTCATTCTATGAGGCCAATATCACCCTGACACCAAAACCAGACAAAGACACATCAAGGAAAGAAAACTTCAGACCAATATCCCTGATGAACATAGATGCAAAAGTTCTCAATAAAATTCTGGCAAATCACATACAAAAACATATTTAAAAGATAGTGCACCACGATCAAATGGGATTCATCCGAGAGATGCAAGATTTGTTCCATATACGGAAATCCATAAATGTAATTCGTTATATTAATATACTTAAAAACAAGAATCATATGATCATCTCAATAGATGCAGAAAAACCATTTGACAAAATATAGCACACTTTCATGCTCAAAACACTAGAAAAACTAGAGGTAGTAGGAACATATGTCGACATTGTAAAAGCTATATATGCTAAACCCAAGGCCAACATCATTCTAAATGGAGAAAAAGTGAAAGCATTCCCACTAAAAACTGGAGCAAGACAAGGATGTCCTCTTTCACCACTTCTATTCAACATCATCCTTGAAACTCTAGCCAGAGCAATTAGATAAAAGAAAGAAATTAAAGAAATACAAATAGATAAAGAAGAACTATCACTATTTGTTGATGACATGATTCTATATCTAGAAGATCAAAGAAATTTACTAGAAAAATTCTAGAATAAGTGAATTCAGCAAAGCAGCAGGATATAAAATCAATACCCATAAGTCACACACATTCCTATACATCATCAATGAATCCACTGAAAGAGAAATTAGGAAAACTAACCTATTCACAATAGCCCCCCCCCAAAAAAAAAAAAAAAAAAAAACTGGGAATCAATCTAACAAAAGACCTCTACCATGAAAGTCATAGAACACTAAAGAAAGAAATTGAAGAAAATTTCAGCAGATGAAAAGATCTCCCATGCTCCTAGACACGCAGAATTAATATTGTCAAAATGGCCTTACTACCAAAAGCATTATTCAGATTCAATGCAATTCCTATTAAAATCCCAATGACATTCTTCATAGAAATAAAAAAAGCAATCATGAAATTTATTTGGAAAAATAAGAGATCCAGAATAGCTAAAGCAATCATTAGCAAGAAAAATGAAGCAGGTGGCATCACAATACCAGATCTTAAACTATACTACACAGCTATAGTAACAAAAAACAGCAGGGTATTGGCACCAAAATAGACTTGAATCAACCAATGATACAGAATAGAGGACACAGACACAAACCCACATAAATACAGTTATCTCCTACTAGACAAGAATGCCAAAAACAATCACTGGGGAAAAGATAGCCTATTCAACAAATGGTACGGCAAACACTGGAAATCCATATGTAGCAAAATGAAATTAAACCTCTTATCTCTCACCCTGCACAAAAAATCAACTCAAAGTAGATACAAAAAACTTAGGCACTAGAACAGAGACCCTATGCCTAATAGAAGAAAAAAATAGGCCCAAATATTCACCACATTGGATTAGGAACTAACTTCCTTAACAAGACTCCTAAAATGCAAGAAGCAAACTCAAAATAATCAATAAATGGGATGGATTCAAATTTAAAAGCTTCTTCTCTCAACGGAAACAATTAATAACGTGAAGAGAGAGCCTACAGATTGGGAAAAAATTTTTACCACATGCAACTCCAATAAAGCATTAATCTCTACAATATATAAGGAACCCAAAAAACTTGACACCAAAAAAACAAATAACCCAATCAATAAATGGGCTAAGGAACTGAATAGACACTTCACAGAAGAAGAAATACAATCAATCAACAATTTGCATTTCTTCTTTTTTTTTAACAAATAATCTTTTTTTTTTAATATATTTATTTTATTTATTTATTTTTATGTGGTGCTGAGGATCGAAACCTGGGCCTCACACGTGCTAGGCGACCTCTCTACCGCTGAACCACAATCCCAGCCCACATTTCTTCTTTTGAAAAATCTGTTTAGTCCCTTTTGCCCATTTCTTGACTGGGTTAATTGGTTTTTGTTTGCTTTGGGATTTTTGTTTGTTTGTTTGTTTGTTTTGTTCTGCTGTTGAATTTTTTTGTTCCTTGTATATTCTGGATGTTAATCCCCTGTCAGAGGAGTAGATGGAAAAGATTTTCTTTCATCCTGAAGGCTGTCTCTTCGCACTTAATCATTTCTTTTGCTGCGTTATACAAAGAAGTCTTAAAAATCAATAATAAGAGAACAAAAAAAAAATACCATAAAAATATAGCCAAAGACCTAAACAAACACTTAAACAAATACAGACAAATGGCAAGTAAAAAAGTAAAAGTACGCTCCACATCCTAAAATCATTCAGGAAAAACAAAACAGTGACACACCTCTACACGCCTTTTTGAACAGCCAAAATCCAGAAAATTGATAATGCCGAATATTGGCAAAAATGTAGAGAAACTGGAACTCTCATTCATTCTTGATGGGAATGCAAAATGGTACAGCTACTTATGAAGACAATCTGGTAGTTTCTTATAAAATTAAAAATACGCTTACCATGGGGCTGGGGCTAGCGCTCACCTAGCACATGTGAGGCGCTGGGTTCAATCCTCAGCACCACATAAAAATAAATAAAGATATTGTGTCCATCTAAAAAATAAATATTAAAAAAAAAAAACTCTTACCATATGATCCAGCAATTAAATTGTGTCCCTTGGCATTCATCCAAGGAGTCAAAACTGCACACAAAAAGCTACACATGTTTATGAGAGCGCAATTCATACTTCTCAAAACCTGAAAGCATCCAAGATGCCCTTTAGTAAACGGGATGATAAATAAACTGTGGCACATCTATACTACATAATATTATTCCACAGTAAAAGGAAAATCATAAAAAGACATGAAGGAAACTTAAATGCACATTACCGAGTGAAATAGGCCAATCTGAACAAGCTACATACTATATAAATTCCAAAATTATGACATTCCACAAAAGATAAAAAATATACAGATGATATAAAGAACAGTGGCTGCCAAAGGGATAAGAGAGTAAGGGAGTAAAAAGTGAGAGCACAGAAAATTTTTATGGGAATAAAACTACTCTATATATTACTATGATGGTACATGTCATTGTACATTTGCCCAAAGCCATACAATGTACAACACCACAAATGAACCTTAATATAGGCTATGGACTCTAGTTAATGATGAAGATGTGTCAATGTACATTCATCATTTGTAAATTAAACATGGACCATTCTGGTGGAAGATGCTCATAGTGAAAGAGGCTGTCTGTGTTGTGAGGACAGTAGTTGTTAGAAATCTCTCTACCTTCCTCTTAATTTTGCTTTCAATCTGAAACTACTCTAAAAACTAAAGCCTGTTAATCTGGGGCATGGTGGTGCACACCTATAACTCCAGCTATTCAGGAGGATGAGGCAGGAAGATCCCAAATTTGAAGCCAACTTGAGCAACTTAGCAAGACATTTTCTCAAAATAAAAAAGAGCTGGGGATTTAGCTCAGTGGTAGAGAGCCCCTGGGTTAAATTCTCAGTACCACATAAACACACACATACAATATGTGCATATGTACAAATGTACATACACACATACATTTTTTTAAAGCCTATTTTGAAAAGGTCCACCCATACTCAGAATGTTGCCTTATATGGAAACAAGGTCTTTGTCAATATAGTAAAGTTAAGATGACGTTATTCTGGATTAAGATGGACCCTAAATCCAATGACTGATGTCCCAATATGGACAGAGATTAGAAACAGGTACACAGGGAAGGTAATGGTGGAGGCAGAGACTGGAGTGATACATCTATAAACAAAAAGGACTGCCAGCAACCACCAGAAGCTAGAAAGAGACAGGGAGGGACTTTTTCCTTAGAGCCTTTAGAAAGAATATAGCTCTGCTGACACCTGGTTTCACACTCCCAGATGCCAGAAATATGAAAGAATAAAAATTTCTATACTTTTTACCCACCAGTTTATGGTACTTGTTCATAGAGAGCCTAAGAAACCAATATAATCTACCCCATAGACTCATCTCTAAATCATCCAAAAAGCACAAATTCTCTAATAGGTACTTTCTAACACCCTCTTACTAAGATGCCCCTCGACTCCCCATGGGTATGTTCTCCCATGACTGCAAAATAAACCCCGCTTGTTTAACTTACAGGTGTACTCCTGGTGGTCTCTGGGTAAAGGGCATTCACAGCAGTAGAATCTTCAAAGGTCTCAAATCACAAACTCTCCCTGTGCCCCAGAGAAGCCCCCCAATCCCCACACATTCAATACTTAATAATCCTCAAGGCTTTCAACCACAAAAAGAAAAAGAAAAAACAAGTTTAATATGCCCGTGTTCATTTTCATGAAGAAGACTCCAGATTGTAAGCACCCTGTGGTCATTGACCACGTTTGTCTTATTTACCAAGTACTCCCACTCCTCAGCACAGATCCTGGAACAAGGTCAACTGGTAGATAAAATCGTTTTCTAAACCACTACATGAACCAACATTGCCAATCTTACCTAGTGAGACCAGGTTCTGGAAGGTTTCCAGCATCACATCTCTGTAGAGGCTCCTCTGAGCAAGATCCAGCAAAGCCCACTCCTGCTGGGTAAAGTCCACAGCCACATCCTCAAAGGTCACCGAGTCCTAAAAGATGCCACAAATTCAGTTCAGAAAGGTACAATTCCTCCAGTGTGTGCGAGATGATGGGTGAAGCTGACAGCACTGGGGACCTGAGAATCAATTCAGGGGAGGTTCAGAAGATTCTGTGGTCTCCCCAAGTCTATGGCAGGACTCCGTCAGCAGATCTCTTTCCCTTTCTACCCACACATACTTAATGACTGAACAAATCCTGTCTAAAAGCCAAAATACTTCTAAAATACTACATTAGTCTCTTTGCAGTTGATGGTAATGAAATAAGAAAAAAAAATCAAAGTTATTTTCCTTCGAACCTGCACAGAACACTGGATATTAGGTATGTGGGTAATTTTCCACACACATCAAGCAGTTCTCCAACAGACACTAGCTAGGTTTCCTGTTATTCAATAACATTCTTACACTATCTACATGGACAGCTTCATCCCACAGGTTGAGGGCTCAGTCCCACAAAACTTCCCCATACTTTAAACAACATAGCAACTAGTACATTGTCATTTTTACTTCTGACCAAATGGCTACATCTCAGGGTCCCCACTGTACCCTCCTTGAGTTGGCTAATATGCTGGGATGGCTTACAGAATCTAAGCAAACACTTCCTTGTGCTTATGGTTTGTTATAAATACAGAGAACTATCCAGATAAAGAAATATATATGGCATAGCAGGGTAGGAAAAGTTGCAGAACTTCCACGCCTATTGGGGTGCCTCGTACCAGGAACCTCTACATATTCAACTATACAGAAGCTCCCTAAATTCATTCTTTTTGGGTTCTCACAGAGGCTTTACCAGAAAGCATGACTGATTTAAATTAGCAATTTAAATAATCAATTTAACCTTCAGTACCTCTCAACTTCAAGGTTAGGGGATAGGGCTGAAGAGTCAAGCATACCTTAGTTCTTCTGGACCAGCACTCATCCTGAGGCTATCTGTCTTGGTCACCAGTCATCATACAAAGCTACTCTTATCACTCCAGACATTTGAAGGGTTTTAGGAACACTATGCCAGGATATGGAACCAAGACCACATATTGTACAATATCATATTATTCCTTATTCAGAAATTCTTCCTTATTCAAGAATAACTTCACCTGCTACTTTATTCCTATTAAGGTGAGCACAACATCAAACTCAGGTTTAAATCTTGATGAGGTTTTAATGAATGAAAACACAGAGAGTGAATGGGAACTTTTCCTTTTTCCCCCCTCACAATCCTGAGAGGCCCAAGAGCCTGCACATCTTTCAAGTCAGGCCCACAGCTGGCTCCGTTTTATAGTATTGTGGCCTGGGCTCATCAAACTATAGCACATGCACTTACTCTAGCCTATCACATACTTATGTAAGTAAAGTTTTATTGCAATACAATAAAACATTTTTTTTATGTTCCTCTATGAATATTTTTTGTATTAAAATGACAATTTCCTTGTAATAGAAATTCTATGACCTTCAAAACCTAATACTTACCATGTAATCAAAAAAAAAAAAAAGAAGCAGATTGCTAACCTGTGCTCTAAAATAGCAGCAGGATATCAAATGAAATAGAAATATTCTTTTTGAGCATTATACCTTTTACTTACCTGCATCATACTTTTCTGTAACCCAACACTTATTCTTTCTTCCTCCATGTCACCTTCATAAAGAAAAGTAAGACATTGAGAAGTTATAGGTAAGACAGAAGCTGACATGGGAATCCAACCCTCCAGAGAATTCCCATACTCATGAGCCTGGATATTGTAGCACATCAATTACCAGTGACAACTCAAAACACATACCATGACTCCCAAGTAAATACAAACTGAACTTGTGTGACACTGGAACAATCCTTTCTCCCCTAGAGATACAAAACAACACTCTTATCCTTGCCAATGATACAAAAGAGGTTAATAGTAACATTTTATTAGTAAATTAACTCAAGTCTTAAGAACATCTGGCTGTCTATTTCCCCATAACAAAAAGCATAAAATGTATCAAGTGGTGCCTTCAACCCTAAGAATATAAACTCCCTGACTCATATCTAAGAAAGCACTAATTTATTTAAACACTAGGCTTCTTGGGGCTCCTTGACCAACATTTTTACTTGTTTACCATTTTACAGGATAATAGGCATTACTACAAACCCCTGAACACTGCTGTCATCCCAACCCCACCCAATGGGCTCCAAAAAACCTAATTTCTGAGAAACAGAATCAAGCTATTTGTTATGGTTTGGATATGGGATGTCTTTCAAAGCCTCCTGTGTTGAAGGCTTGGTCTCCAGTGCTGCAGTGTTCAGAGTTTGGGGTTGGGGGAAGCGATTGGATTATAAGGGGTCTGACTTCATTGGTGGATTAATCCATTTTATAGATTAAGAGTTTGAATGGACTACTGGGAGGTAACAGGAACTATAAGAGGTAGAATCTAGAAGAGATGAGAAAGAGGAAAAGGAAGAAGTAGTGGAGGTGGTGGAGGTGGTGGTGGTGGTGGATGGTGATATTAGTGGTAGAAGAGGAGGAGGAGGAAGAAGAAAATTTCATTGTATCCAGTCATTAAAAGAATCATTTAAAACATGCACAAGGAAACAGAAGTTGCAAATTGTTTTACAGAAAGTTTCACAAAATAAGTGGGAAATTCATAATTCCAGTGTACAGAGGGAAGGTAATTTCCTACTTCCAACACCAGAAGGGTACAACTAAAAAATATGCCAGATCACATATAAAGTACAAATAATACAAAAGTATTGGTAAGAGTTGAGAAATGAACAATAAGTATAAATCACAATTTAAGTTCATTTCATCCTAGGAATGATGGATGCTTAAAAACTGAATCACCAAAAAAAAAAAAAAAAAAGAGTAAAACTGAATCACTGGGACTCAGTGGTACGCACGGTGCCTTACTAGTGTTGAGTCCTTGGATTCAATCCCAGCGCCACAAGAATAAAATAAACAAAAACTGAATCACTGATTAATGAAATTCACAGTATTCATAGAAAGGTTATTTGACATATTCCCTTAGACACAAAGAAATGACTAATCTATTTCAGTGTACATTGCTAATAATAATTTAGGCCATTAGAAAGGAAAAGATTTTATAGGTTACAAAATGCAAACATTCTATTTAATAGGGAAATACTGATTAATTTTCTCTGAAATCAGGAACAAGGCAAGAATGAAAATTATATGCTAATCTCCATTCAGCCAGGAGTCCTGGCAAGTGCAGTAATTAGAAACAAACAAAAAAAAAAAAAAAATGGAAAACACAAGTATTTAGGAGAAGAAAAATTCAAACTGGCACATTTTCTGTGCAAAATTTAAAAAAAACTATAAATAAGTGACCAAGCTTTTTTTTTTTTTTTTTCCTCCCTGCATTTTGCAGTACTAGGGATTGAAGCCAGGGGCACTCTACCACTGAAGTACACCCCCAGTCCTTCTAATCTTTTGTGTAGAGATAGGGCCTGCCTAAATTGCTCAGGCTGCCCTTGAACTTGGGATCAAGTTCTACCTCAGACCCAAGTAGCTGGGATTACAGGCGTACACCACCGCGCCAGGCTAAAATGTATCACTTTATTAAGGATGAAATGCACTTGCCCAGGAGGCGGGTTAACAGTATTTTAAAATCAGCTCCCTCTTGTGTATCTGAATGCAACGTGTCAAACATGCCCCAGGCCCCCGGGGAACTCTCAGACCCGCGCTAGACAATGCGCGAGGCCCAGGGGCAGCGGGCCGAGCTCACCCCACGCTGGGTGTGTGCAGACCAGCAGACCCGCACGAGGCTCCGGACCCGGGACCCTGACGCAGGCGAGGCCTCTGCTCTCCGCAGGGAGAGGTCGCGGGACTCTCCAGCTCCGGCGGGCAGGAGACGCGCCAGCTGGTAGCGCAGCCCGGAGTCCCCGATGCGGTCACCGGAACGAGCGCGGTGCCGGCGAAGCCTATGGGATTCTGGGCCGCCCGGCAGAAGGGGGCCCGGGGACGGCGGACCAGAGTCATCCAGCCTTCCGCCTCCCGTGGCCCATACCTGGATGGCGCGGGGCGGGACGGATAGGATGCGGGGGCTGACGACAGGAAGCCAGCCTTCCGCCTCCCTCGGCCCATACCTGGATGGCTCCGGCCGGGAAGGATAGGATGCGGACTGAGGAAAGAATATATCTCAGATGCAAGCTTCAGCCTAAAGTGTCATGGCGGCCACAGGCATACAGTGAGCTACCTCGCGCGTGCGCAGACACGCTCTTCTGCCGCCCGCTACCCCCCTTCTCATTCTGAGAAACGCTCTGCGTCAGGGGCGGGGCTTCGGGAGCTGGGCGTGCCGGGGCTCAATCCATCAGCACGCAGAACGAGCTAATTTCCCCTGGGCTTGTAGGTAAAAAGAGAACCAGAACCGTGGCCGAGGCTGGGGAGGGACCAGGTTAGGCCGGCCGAGTGGACTCAGGTGAGACCAGATCAAGGGTCCTGGCTTTTAATATTCCAGAGGTTGGGTCTAAGATGGGACCTGGTTGCCAAGGGAGACCCCTGGAAATTCCTAGAGGCGGGGCTAAAGTTAGAGCCTGTCACAAAGGTTCCCTGAGGCCCGGGAGTAGGATGCTCTTCAAATGCATTAATACCCTTGCTAGAGCCCTGTCCACAGGCCATCATACTTAAAACTCTGAGTCTACCAACCTGTGCGATAAACTCTTTTTCCATAGATTCAGTCCTTTAGGTCTTTACTTTTCCCTTTCATTGTTTTATTGACTATTGGTCTGCTAGAGGAAAGCTATTGAAAAGTATTTAATTAGGTCCTTCTATCTGGAAACCTTGCTGAACTTTAATATCTGTAAGTTCGTTATTTTGGACTTAAATATAAATAATATTTCCTGTGCATTTTTGTTATTATAATATTCACAAGTCGTTTATTTTTTTTTCTTGTTTGTGCAGGGCCTCCTAACTATAAGTCAGATAAGAAAGAAGGTATTCATGTCTTGGTTAATAATAATCACCAAGGTTCCCATGTTAGCTGTAGTTTGTGGCTTTTATCAAGTCCTGTTTTGAATCTGCTTTGTGAAGACATTTTATCAGTAGTTTTGATAAATATTATACAATGTATATGAAACTATTAAGTTCATAATAGTTTACTCCAACTTGATTTATGATGTCATGTCTGTAAGAAACAGACTCTCCTGTCCAAACCTAAGGAATAGATTAAGAAACAAAAGGTATAGCCAAAAAAAAAGCAAGGAATGTGATTTTCCTGTCCCCCAAGGCCAGGTAGGGCTGAAGGCAGATTGCTTTTTATCAAAGAAAGCATATGGAGAATCAGTACAGTGAATTCATTTTATAGAATTATTCTCTTAACCTTGTGTTCCCACCATCTTCATCTATTTGTCCCCTTACACCTTACATCTAAGTATGTCTGTCCCCTTGATATAGGACAGATGTGGCTGGACACCAGAAATCAGGTTTATTTTAGCTGCAACAGTCCAGAGGAGGCTAACGCCTAAAAAGCTTTGGACCCTGAATCTGAAAATTCTTTTAGACTTATAGTCAGTGGGGTGGTTACATGTCACTGGGTGGGTACATAACAGTTACTCTTTGTCCCACATTTTTAGGCTAGACAGAGGTTTCACAAATTTTGTCTGCAAACCTGGCATTTATAAGAAAGAGGAAGCTACAAACCACAGAAATTTTTGCTGATATCCCATTGACACCCTTTGTAAAATTCTTTCTGACAAGGAAAAAAGCTTAACTGTGGCAATGGTCTTTTGGATGGGGGTAACTGGTCTGCTTCACCCTTACAAAGCAGTAAAGAAAATTTTTTTTTTCAATGCTAGGGATCGGACCAATGTGTTGCACATGCTAGGCAAGTGGTCTACCACTAAGCTATACCCCTACCCCAGAACAAATTTTATTTAGGACAATTGCAGTAGGGGAGTAGAGACCTCAGTATAGAACTGGACTCAATTCTGAATATAGCACAGATCATTGGAAATTTATATGCCAAGGAACATGGTGGTGGTCTAGGTAGACCTGAGCAGTGGGAACAGGGTGTTTAAAGGGTTAATTCTATGTATAAGTGAAGAATATGAAAAACTACATTTCCCTAGAAAAGGGAAATGACAACCCCCAGGGCTGAGGGAGGACAAAGGGTCCTGGGAGAGAAAAGGCAAACAAAGTGCCTTGTGCTCTCTCTGGTCTTTCCTCCTTTCCCAGTATCCTGGAGGGGAAGGCAAACAAATGGGCTCTGGGCTCTGGATTATTATCCCAGTAACAAAGAGTTTCAAGCTTTTACAACTGTTTTCCTGACTTAGATTTTT